AAAAATTTAGAGATTTGTAGCGTGACGATCGAGAATTTTATGGTGTAGGTTGTTTATAGAGAAACGCGCGAGAAAAAGATCGATTATAAACGAAAAAAATATTACATGTAAATGTGTTAAATTGGAAATATAATTGTCGGTTAGGTTTAACGACGTACGAAGGAAGAAATGAACATGGGGAATGTTATAAATTATCTTTATAAAAGAAAGAAAGAAGTGAGATGCAGTTATAATTTTAATATTTTTAATTGATGTATGAATACCTATGCGCATTATAATAAACTTTTATGTGTATTTAGTAAATCTTCACTAAACAAGGTATTCTGTATGATTATATCACAAAATAAAAATTATGTTTGATTCATATTAACACAGTTTTTAAGTATGAAGTTATATCTGAAGGTATTATTATTACTTTAGCAATACATGTAAATGGATGATATACGAATATAAAACACATGTTTAGAAGCAACATAAACTGGAACCTATGTAAAATATACATTTTAAATCGTATTCATATGTGTAATCATATTCCTTTCCCAGAATTATTAATTCGAATGATTTATTATTATATTCTATAAAATGATATATTTTCTGTTTTAGTATAAAACTCCAATATAACTTTTACGGTATTATATATATTGGTAATTCATTCCAATTTTTTTGTCAAATTCACAGAAGTTCATTTTGAAAACATTTATACATAAATAGTGAAAATACATATAAATATATTATATGTAAATTTGCATATATAAATACGTATTATATGTATTATATAAATACGCAAATGTGTATTATTCAAAATATTTCGAAATGTCATTAGTATTGTAATGTAAATACACACAAATTCTAAAATTAATAAAATTTAAAGATATAAATGTACATATATATTTGAATCGGTAAAATCAACCATAATACCGATTCTTGCACATGAAGTATTTGGGATTTACTTATATACTGTTTGGTAATATGTTTCTAGCTTGTTCAAAGTTAATATATAATTAAGCGTCAAAATAACGATCTTCGCGTCTTGATATATAAATTTTACTCGATTATATCACATGTAGCTTACGAAAATATTCGAATACTCATCACAGAAAATTTTATTGTCTATATTATATAAAATATTATGAAATTACATTAAAACACAATATTAAACAGAGTTATACATATTTAGGCCAGAGTTTTTTAGTTTTTATTCCGTTATCATTTCGTGCGAAATGCCCCTCTACAGCGCCAACGGTGAGATATGGAATATACTTCCTACGATTCTCGAATGTAATCGATATTTCTCATGATCGATTTTTAAGCGGCAACATGGCGGAAGGAAGCACATCTTGTCTGTAAAGAAGAAAGTATTATTCAGAAAAGTCATCCAGAAAAAAGTGTCATCCAGAAGTTCTCAGGTAAAAATATAAAACAATAGTTGCTAGATTTGTGTATGTATTGTATTTTTTTAAGATAAAACGTGCATTTTTAGCTTCAACACACGGTAAGATTTAGCCAAAAATTGTTACACATAATTTCCAACAATTAAAGAAATAATGACATATAAACGTT